AGCAGTGGACATTGGTGCTGTAGTAGTAGAGGAAGCAGTGGTGACTTGTGCTGAACTGCTTCCAGCATCTGTGCCACTGGAGGTGAAGGTCACAAAGCCTGTGATTCCAGAGCCCACATGTCCATTAATCCAGTCCTGGTACTGGGACACCCTGGTGTACACCCCTGGGAGATTGGGTTTCTGACAGGCAATTCCAGAGCTAACAATACCAGCCTGAATCCAGACAGGACCCTGCTTGCAGACCAGGGGACTCCCTGAGTCAAACTGGAGACACACAGAGAGAATACTGTTAGGAATTGTCTGACACCGGACCACAGGCAACTAAACCACTGACCAAGGAAGAACGCTATGCTGAGTAGTTCAGCGTTGCACTTGTGTCAACCAATGAGATGCTTTGAGATCAGGCTTATCCACCTACCTGACAGGGGCCTTTGGTCTGCTGCAACCCTCCAGCACAGATCATGTTGTCATTGATGGAGTTTTGCCCAAAAATATCCACACACTGCTTGTTTCCAATGATGGGGACCTGGACCTCCTGTAGGGTCCGGTTCTCTGATAGAGGCACTGTGAAACAAGAGAGTTTATTATTACCTAAGGCATGTACCCACATGTTGACAACCATGTTTCTGTTAGGGGGGCGGACAGCAACTGGTCCCAGCTGGGAATATGCTGTCCCATATCTTCTAAAACACTAATGTGCCATCTCTGAGGCTTGCCTGTCTCATGCAGAAATATAGGGTTCATCAGTTGTCAAGGAGCTCTGTTCACCCCAATCGACCCGACACCCTAAAAGTTTGCAACTCTTTATGCTTCACACCTTCGTGAGTTCTTTAGAGTGACTGTCTATTTCAATCTGAAGAAAAAGCTCTGCATCCTATAGCCCTGCCAGGAGTGGGTGAAACGTACAGTGAAAAGCACGCGTTTTGGGACAGCGGAGTGAAATGCGTTATTTTTGCTGTGTACTAATGAAATTAAGATTTCAGATCAAAAGATTAAAATGGGGCAGAGGCATCAAATTTCTGGGTGTTTTGCATACGTGTTTAGCCCGGTTAAATCAATGTCAATTGTTATGTTAATTCCTCCCCTCTTTATGTGAGTATATGTGAGTACGAGTGATTCTAATTCCTCAGATTTGACATGTTGAATTAATTGTGAAACCATAAAAGAGCTGTGAATTGCCAGATTACAGAAATGCCAGATTAGGATTTGCATAGAAGTACAAAGGTGAGCCAAATCAGCTCTGCAACAAAGTGTAGCCCTGGTTTTAGCCTGTTGGAGTTCACTTTTTGGGTTTCCTTTTGTAGTAAAGTGATGCGTGAGGTAGATGACAACAAGAGAGGTGTCTGTGACAGAAAAGCAAGCAACTGTAAAGATGAAAGGGAAAACATTGCAGAGACATTGGGCATCACAAAAAGTGGAACATTTTGAACCAAAAACCACTGGAAGAGTAATAATTGGGCCTAGACCAGGCTGTCCAAGGGAGACGCAAGCAGTTCAGGACTGCAACATCCTGAGAGCTGTGCAGAAAAACCTTAAAACAGGGGTTCTCAACCTTTTTTGGCCAGTGACCCCGTTTTTAGGTCCCAAAATCCTTGCGACCCCATTAATTAGAGCAGGGCTACTCAATTTAACTAACAAGTAGGCCTAATGGGAAAATCTGTAGGTTTCGCAACTTTGTCAACAAAAGGCTACTATAGATAATAGTTCAATATTATATTATTACAGACTTGTTATTACATGTATAAAAGGATGTTTATCCCTTTCTTTTTATTTTAATTGTGTCATGAATAACAATTCCACATAAGTAGCCATCCCACACACAAAACACAGGTAAGGCAGAGCTCAGAAAGCATGACATATATTTCCCAAACCAACCAAACACAGTGCTTTCAAACCACATCCATAAATAGAGAGAAAATAAAACATTTTTACTATAGCATCATGAAGGTATATGTTAATCAGGTAATTTAGCAATTTAGGAGGATAGCAAGATCTATCAAACATGCGCTGTCAATATGCAGATACCATATCAATAGCTGTAGCAATGTGGTAGCTAACTACAAAAGACACTCTCAAAGCCCTCTCGTTAACTATCATGGCTTTTCTAAACTGCACATGCTGCCTATTCAGCTCATCGCATTTTCTTTCAAAAAATGATTTTGTCTTGGCCAAGCATTCCTTGCGAGTGGTCTCAAAGTTTCTTTTGAGTTTGGTCTCATACTCTCTGTGGAGAGTACATTTCTGCACAGCAGGCATTTAGGCTTTTCCTCGTTGTTTTCCCGGATATTTGTAAATCCATACTGAATAAACGATTTGTCATATTTCCTTGCTCGTTTACACCTCGGCATCTCGGGTTCGACTTTGGTTTCACTGGCAGATATCGGTGTCAAGGTGAAGGCGACTGGATGAAGAAATGTCTTCATTTTGCTGGTTTATTAACTAAAATACGTAATGCTAGCTATCATATCTCGCAGAACAGTTGGTGACGTTGGTTTGACAGGTTGCAATTGGGTCATGAGTGGTCGTGCAAGTTGTCATGGTTACTTTCAGAGTATAGGACGCACACTTTATATTTTCATGAGCATGAGCTCCAAATTGAATATATTGAAATTATGGAACAGATGCAGCCATTCAAAATGCACCGTACAACCCCATACCGTGCAAAATTACCCACAGTTCACCCTGTTGTACCGCAGTACGTGCTTGGCTGGCCAAAATGACCGACGGGAGCTCATGGTGCATTGGTTGTTGGTGAAAAGTCTTAATCATTTAATCTCTTTACTGTGCATGTTTTAATCCGCTTAATATTGAATATTTATATGGAATTTTACAACTAAAAGGAAATTTTAGTGGCTGAGCATAAAAAGAAGAGGAGCATAACGCGTCTGAAGGTCATAAACAATATTAATTTAGGAACATAAACATATTATGTAAACTGTATATGGCTGGTATTAGTATTTATTTTGAAATAAAAATACACACCTGTATTCCACTTTCTTCCTAAACATTTTAAGCATCAAAGTCTTGCATTCAGTTACATACTGTGGTTATGTTGGAAAAGTTTTTAGGTGCTGCTTCTGACTATATTAAGTTTACAGTCTTCGTAAAAAGTTACAATGTTTTAACCTTTTCTGTGAATACTTGCGCTTGTTTCCACAGGAAAAAAACGCATACTTTTTAGAATTTAATTAATAGGGAATATAATATGGAATCGTGTAGAAATTAATAATGATATAATTATATCCATATAGTTCAGATTATCACAGTAGTACACGTTCTTTGTAAATGCCTGCATCAGTTTAACTCATTGCCATGTGATTACGTGTGTGGTGTAATAGCTTAGGCCAATTGAAAGAGCAAGGTGACGTTCTGCTATCGAAACCATTTTTTACAGCTTTTAAAGTCACAAAGTGTTTGATTTAGGCAGGAACACCTCATTGTATCTTATTTTTCATTTCATTTTGTTTAAATAAATATAAGGCAACCAGCAATCAGATGTCCTGTTTTTTCTTAACACTCGTTTGTCCACACTGTAGTTTGTACTGAGTCTTTGTGTAAGCTGTAAGTTCTTTTTACTTCTTTATTAAACATTTGAAACACTTCAATTTTGCAAATGCAACAAGCTTTCCGTACAGAGATAAAATCACCTGAAGAAGGCTCCACGGCCGAAACGTTGTGTTCTCTTTCTTCTTTTTTTCAGCATGGAATAAACCTATTACTATACTATATAAGGAGAAACCTTTCCATTTGAAGAGGAAGCTAATGTCAGGAAAAAAACAACAAACAGGCAACAGGTGAAAGAGGCTGCAAGTCGGGCTTAACCAAGCCGCTCAGAGGGAATATCTCCGCAGTCTGTTAATGTGAATGGTTTACAGGCCTGAAGCAGTCATAGCATTTAAGTGGTTTACGACCACATTCCAGCTTTACACTGGTTTAACTTTAGGTTAGTCCCAGTATTGAATTTGGGAAGACAAAGCACACAAAAACATTTATGGGGCTGGCAATGGTTTAAAGTATGCCCAGAAATATCCAGAAATAAAAGCTGACTGTCCTGTACTATTGCCTCGAGTTTACCTTATTGATCTGATATACAGATTTCAATAGCGCACGGCAAGAATGACAAAAGTCACTTCGCAGTCCCAGAACGTATGATTCTCACTGTGGAGGCAGAGTGCAGGGCCTGATGTACAAATATCCCTTCTCGGCATTGAGAGTGGTGGTGTGGCTTTCACTGGGAGCCTGTTGTGTGCACACAGGCATGTGACAAGCTGTGCAGCCGCAATCCCAGTAGAACCAGTCATCCCAGGTTGCCCCCAACTTTGAGACACTCAGCCCCTTCTGTAGGGCCATTTGAGGTTAGTCTTGATCTTAGCAGGCTGGTATAGCCCAGCCTCAAAGCAGGAAGATGCAGCTTTTGCTAGCTGACAATGAGACACACTCACCCTCATTAAGTGTTTCTCCCCAGCCAGCGACCCAGCAGCTGGTCCCATTGATGAAGGAGCTGTTGCTGTCGGCCAGACAGACGGGCTGGATGTACTTGGTGAAGGAGACGGGGCTGTCCAGCTTCAACAGGGCGATGTTGTTGTTACGGTATAAAGAGTTATACTCTGGGTGTGCGATGATCTGCTGGACCCCCCTGGACACTTCGTCAGGGTTAGAGCTTGACTGTGTCAGCCGGCCCAGGTACACTGTGAACTGACTCGCATCAAGGCTGGAAGGAGGGAGGTAGGAGAAGAAACAGGAAGTATATAAAGGAGACATGGGGATGGGTCACCTGCCCTAATCCTAAAGCTTCATGGATCATTACTGTTAATAGTACGTCACCTGTGAATCAGCCAGAAATCACCCCTGTTACTCTGTCAGCAGTTTCAAAGTGTAGTGACCACTGTGAACACTGATATAGTATAAATCACCTCTGTTACCCTGTGAGCAGTTTCAATCTGCAGTGATCACTGTGGACACTGGTACAGTCTAAATCATCATTGTTACACTGTGAGCAGCTTCAATCTGCAGTGACCACTGTGAACACTGATACAGTCTAAATCATCACTGTTACACTGTGAGCAGCTTCAATCTGCAGTGATCACTGAGAACACTGATACAGTCGAAATCGTTACTGTTACAGTAGATGAGCTAGCTGATCATTGTTTTTCCCCAGTCATCTTCCCCAGTCATCTGTGTCACTGAGTCCAGAGTCATCTCCATCTGCAGTTGCTGTCAGTACAGTAGATACTGAGAAAGGGGGACCTCTGTCTCCCCTACCCTTTAACGCAGAACGCTGCAGTCAGCACCCACTGGCTGTTGATCAGAGCTCCACCACATGAGTAGGACCTCTGAAACAGGCTGGCCTGCCATGGCCAGTACCCCAGCTGGGCAGACTCTCCCCCCGCGATCCTGGGACTGAGGGGTGCCTGCCCACAGGCTTACAGGATGAAACAGAAAAAGAAAGAGTAAATTCTGTTACTGTAGGTATTTCTACAATCTTTTGTCATAGCTGGCAAGCCTAATCACTGGTTGCTTTGATATTTAATTTGTGGAAATTTGCTCAATTATCTGTTGTGTGTGTTTATCACTGAGGGGTTCTCTGTGATCTCCTCTCTCTCACTGTGTCTCCTGTCCTGTTGTGTGAGTATATTACTGAGGGATTCTCTGTGATCTCCTCTCTCTCACTGTGTCTCCTGTCCTGTTGTGTGTGTTTATCACTGAGGGGTTCTCTGTGATCTCCTCTCTCTCACTGTGTCTCCTGTCCTGTTGTGTGAGTATATTACTGAGGGATTCTCTGTGATCTCCTCTCTCTCACTGTGTCTCCTGTCCTGTTGTGTGTGTTTATCACTGAGGGGTTCTCTGTGTCCTCTTCTCTCACTGTGTCTCCTGTCCTGCTGTGACTATTTATTACCAGGAGATTCTTAGCGTTGAGCTGTATGATGTTTAAGTCATGTTGCTCCTCTATGAAGAACAGTATTCTTACCAGGCTGGGCTTGTGATTCCGAATCTGAAATAAAAGAAGAGTTCTTGAGAGAACTGATGGCAGAATCATCAACACAGAAACAGAAACAGGTTTGAAGGAGCTTAAAATGATGTATGGCGTCACCGAGGACATTGACGCATAAGCAGAGGAGAGTGTAACCGGGTGGTTACGGAGTGGATATTTGAAATCTGACACTGAAATCGGTAGCTGTCGCTTTAAGATACACACGTATGAGTGACGTCAGTGCGCCAGTAATTTGTGAGAGTGGACATCATAAAGTTGAGCGTGGTGTGTGGCTACGTGTGATGTGAATGCAGAGGTAAATGTTCAGAATTTAGTTGATTGTGTAGCTATCAAAAATGAAGTTTGGAAATCCTTGAAAGAGATGTATATTGCTGATATATGAGGGGAGGGTGACTTATTAGTTAGACAAAATTGGTGGATGTTTAGGGATGAAGTGATCCCGACTCCCATGAGGTTCCAGTGCTGTGTGGGTGGGTTCGCGGGAATCATGTCCGTAACGGTAAATGGTCATACATTTTTGTTAGATGTTTGCATTTCTTTAACCATTGTGGAGGAAATGATGTGTTTTGTTCTTTGAGAATGACCTTATTCTGTTTAACTTGTTCAGAGCGTGTTAAAAGAAGACTGTGATATTCTGTGCATCTTGGATTAGACGAGATTAAAGAGTGAGTAGTTTTGTTTTTATATTTCTGTGATGTAATGGGACCAATGAAGAATGTGGCATCACACTAATGTGGAGTATTTCTTTCCTTAGGGAAATTGCCACTACCGTATTTTTTTTTTGTCTTGCCACATAACACCACACTCATTCAAGGCCCCTCAGGACAATTCCAGATCACCCAGACAGCATCTTGTACCTCCAGCAACCTTATTTACTGTATCTGTTGCAGTAAATGCCCAGTTTCTCTCTACATTGGAGAAACAGGAAGGAGACTCGGAGACCGCTTCAGAAAACACGTCAGGGCTGTGAAGATTAAAGATCTCTCCAAGCCCATTGTTTCTCATTTCACCTCTGACGGCCACGACCACTCTAATCTCTCCGTCTGTGTTCTCAAAGATGGTTTTCCGAACTCATACATCAGAAAGACTACTGAATCCAAACTTATCCTGCAGCTAGGATCACACCTTCCCCTTCTCTTAACGACAGACTACTATTCTACTAAATTTTCTCCATTCATTGGACGTTTCATTTTACACCTCTCGACACCTGTTCTGACTTCACACCTCTCGATTGGTCTCTCTACCGTCCCCTGCTCCCGCCTCTCACTCCTCCTCCCTCCCAGCCTTTGTTCTCCTGCTACATTACCTTTGCCTACTGCCCTGTCTCTCTCACACCTGAAGAAGGCTCCACGGCTGAAACGTTGTGTTTTCTCTCTTCTTTTTTTCAGCATGGACTAAACCTATTACTTGTTCCGTGTGTATATCTCCATGTATATCTATGTGAATCTTTCGGGTTAAAGGTTATACTGCATCAAATCCAAGTTCTGAAGCAGAAAATAATACAGCCACTCATTTTTATGATCCAGAATAAAACAAAATCCCCATTTAAGTTTATTGTAGTACGACGTGTTCTTTCCCAGGCTACAAATCTTGGTAAACAGAAACAAAGGACTACAGAAGGTCAGTAAGTGTGAGTAAGGGCTCTTGTCTGGAAAGTTGTGAAGCTGAGCCCCGAAGGTCCTGACACGCGCTGCTGGTTTCTGCCTGTAACCCCAGGAGAAACGCGTGAACACCCAGAGAACACGCAGACTCCACCCAGACGGCGCACTGTCATTCTTCCCAGCCGCCGGCGTCGGTGAGCACACTGTACCGGATACGGCCGCCGCACAGGTGGAGCGAACCGGGGACGTCGCCGCCCGGGCTGCGGGAGGCCTCCCTTAGCTCGGCCGGCAGGGTCCCGCTTGCCTGACCCGGGTTCGAGCCCCCCCCGGCAGAGGGGCGAATTAAGGCAGAAACCCGCGCGAGAAGCCGCGTTGCGCCGCAATACGATGGCGGCAGGCGTTCAATGGCCTCTCCGCTTTTTTTGGCAGCCGAAACTGAAGAACTGGTTGCTGGAATCTAGGAATTTCCCAGCGGGCAGGTAACTAACCTGAAGGCTTCTGCCGGGCTGACGTGAATTCCTAACAGAGCCCTGCTCTCAGGGGCAGCAGATAGATGCCTTCTTGGCGAGGTGTGAGCAGGAATTTCTTGTACGACGACAACACAGAGACTGACAAACGACCAAGTCTGTTTTCCTTGTTCAGCTCTGTGGACAGGGCTTGGCTCGTTCGAACCCCTGTCTCGATTCCTACATCCCTCTATCCTAGTGCCTATTCCTCATCCTGTTTTAATTTCAGTTCCCTGCTTTATTCCGGTCTTTCTTCTGATCCCCTCTTCTGTTTATTTTTTTCCTTTTGTTCACTCTTATTCCTCATGTCCATTTCCAGATACTTGATTCTGTCTTTCCTAAACTTTATTCCATTTACTGTGTTTTGTGTTCCTAGTACCTCTTCTATAGTTAATGTTTCCTCTTTCTTATTCCTTATAGCCTACCACAAATTTCTGTATTTTTACTGCACTATACTCTGTTTTTACCCTGATCTCACTGGGCTTTACTGTGCTGGACTGTGCTTTTACCCTGATCTCACCAGGCTTTACTGCACTGGACTGTGCTTTTACCCTGATCTCACTTGGCTTTACTGCACTGTACTGTGTTTTTAACCCTGATCTCACTGGGCTTTACTGCACTGTACTGTGTTTTATCCTGATCTCACTGGGCTTTACTGCACTGTACTGTGCTTTTACCTTGATTTCACAAGACCTTATTACACTTCAACCTGTTGTCACAGTGCTTTATCCCAGTAGTATTAGTAGGAAGCTCCAATAGCAATCGGTAACTAACCTGTTAATAAAACTCTATACCAGTACTTAGTACATTAAGTTACAGACAGGAACAGAGCACCCCAGGGAACAAGAGACAGCTGCACTTCAGACATTCAACCAGGCTGTGTTTTCTGTGACACTGTGATGAGCTCTTGAGTCCCAATCACTTCAGTGAGACACAGACACAGCTGGCAGAGCCTGTGACTGGCTCACAGGTGGATCTGCTGCAGATCTGAAGTGATCGGCCCAGGTCAGGACTGAAGAGAAGGCTGGCAGACTCAGAGACACGCCGACACTGACTGGGCAACAGACCCACAGAGAAACACACAGGTGCGCAGGCAGACAGGTGCGCACACACACACACACACTCACTGACACACAGGTGAGAGAGAAACCGCAGCCTACCTGTCACTGACAGCAGCAGAGTCAGCAGGGAGAGCAGTGCCATGGCTTACAATGGGACCTGCCTCCACCGTCCCCTGCTTTTATCCTCGTCTCCTCCTGCCACCCCCACCCCCTCACGAAGATCGAAGATCGGCACTCCCACCTGTTGGCATACCTCCTCTCCCCTCTCCCCTCCCTCCTCTCTCCCCGCCCCCCCCTCCCTCCCTCTCTCAGTTCAGTTCCATGCAAGGTGCTGTATTGGCATGACCGACGGGTACCAACAGCGTTGCCAAAGCAAACCCAAATAAAATGAACATGAAACAAAAGCAAAACCATCTACAGACATTTACAACAAAGACACATCTGTTCCGCCAAGCCACTGGAGGACTCGGCATTCCACCTCGCATTCCAGCACGGCTCCCAGTTAGCCCATTTCCCCCAGCCTGTTTAAAGCTGCTTCACACACTCCTCTGTGCTCAGTATCAGGGTTTTCCTGGCTGGAGCTGCTCCCAGTCTCTTTGTTATTTACCACCTGGTTCTTGGCTCCCTGACCCTGGACTACGTCTCCTGCTTTCGGTTTTGGCTCTTTACCAAATGAAATCAAACCACATCAACGTTTATTGATCAAATGCACAACAATACAGCGTGCAGCAGTAGTTGCTGGCAATGAAATGTCTGTGCTGCGTGCTCACAAGAATCACAAAAACACAAAAATCACAAAAACACAAAAATCACAAAATTAAGGTTACAATCACAAAATTAAGGTTACAAAAAATAAGGTTACATAATAATAGATGTAATAGAAATGGAATAAAACTCAATATGAGCAGAGCCGCTGAGTGTCCATGGTGTGTGCGATATATACAAGTAGTGCAGTTATGCTGAACACAGTGAAAACTGTGTGTCCATGTAGCCATTACAGGTGATTTGCTAAAGGAGCTGCAGGTTGGCTATTTAGCAGTCTTAGTGCCTGGAGGTAGAAGCTGTTCCGTAGTCTGTTGGACTTGGACCGAATGCTTCGGTACCATTTACCAGACGGTAGGAGAGAAAACAGTTTGTGACTGGGATGACTGGGGTCCTTGAGAATGGTCCTTGAGATGACTGGGGTCCTTGAGAAGGTTTTGTACCTCCGGCTTTCGGACCTCGGATCGCTCTCTCGGCTACGCCTCCGGAGATCGCCCTGGTTTTCTGCACAGGGTCCTCACTACTATTCCGGAACAATATCATAAAATATTGACATGTCCTGTAGGCG